AAGGCAAGTAACTATCCTTATTTTGCAATAAAAGCACTCAGAGGAGAACCCACACTACCATTACCTACATCTCAGCTGGTGGCTCTAGTGTTCATTCATAATCAAGAACAGTGGAAAATGGATTTGTAGAAAGTTCTCAGGGCCTGACAGAAGGTCCACACAGCATGCATCCATATGTAAACTTTGAGAAAAGACTTACTCATTTAGAAATGCCATGGAATAGGACAGATATTATTGAGAGAGAAATAGAACTAGAAACAAGTTTCAAAAGATGGCCTTGCAAATAAGACTAGATACTTTGGACAAACAGAAAACTATGAAAGATGTATTGTAGTGGGACCCACAAAGGGTAATTTTAGATTATTAGATTTAAGGCATCTACAACATGGCATGGCAAAAAGCTAGGCCAAGAAACACTTATAGTATATTTTAACTAGGAAATATCTGGCTTCTGATTGTGATGGTGTGTATTATAAACATCTGTGTTGTGTCACCCTTCTCATGAGACCGAAAATGGAATAAAAGTTTTTAAAACACCTCTCAGTTGCCCCGTCTCTGGGTCAGGAAAAGGGTATTGTCCTATAAAGAACCATGTATATTCAAAAAAAATCAAAGACTTTAAGGTGTAATTCATGTGGTCAAATGTCCACATAGTCTTCAGAAGATAACCCTCCAAGAATTTGACACGGAGACTATAATGGAGAATGCCATATCCAGTCAGATGAAACCATTCCTATTCACACGAGACACATTTCCTGCCTTTGCAGTTCCCCACGTGTGCCTTAACTCCTACACTGCCACAGTACACTGAAGCAGTCTTAGGAGAGGGTGGATTTCACTGCACGTATGTCAATGGCTTGCTGGACAGCCTTTCTGCCATGTTCACTTGTTTATGTGCCCGTTTTCTTTTTCATCTTCTGTAAGCTTTTTTCAGGTGGGCAGTACTTGGCAGGAGTTCCCTTGCTAAGCATTAGTAAACACCCTACCATAACTCAGATCCTTTTTTGGGATCACTGTGTATTAGCATAATGAAAACAGCAGGAAGATAATAGTGCTGAGCAATCCCACTGCTTCAGCCAAAGAAAACAAACTTTCACAGCAAGGCAAGATTAGAATTTTTGATCTTAACCTCCCTCAAGTTCTCCATGATACTGAATTTGAAGAAAGATGTGTTACTTTTTTTAATACTACCATTAAAAGTTAAATGCCTAGATCTATAATATACCTAATTTTTGTCTCTAAATCTGTTTCCCTGGTTTTGGTCCTATGGAGACCAGAAATAAATGTCCCTGAAGAATCTTGGAATAAACCTATGCACTAAAAAAAAAAAACAAAACCAAA